GATCACGCCCTGAGCCAAAGGCAGACGCTCAACCACTGAGCCACCCAGGCGTCCCTACAATCCTTTTTATCATAGAAAAGCCCCACAGGGCAGCCCGGGGGGCTCAGCAGTTTAGCGCCGCCTTCAGCCCAGGGCCTGACCCTGGAGACCCGGGATCGAGTCCCACGTCGGGCTCCCTGTAGGGAGCCTGCTTCTCCCTCTGCCTGGGTCTCTGCCCCTCTCGGTCTCTCTCTGTGTCTCATGAATAAATAATATCTTAAAGAAAAAGAAAAGCCCCACAAATATAGCAAACCACATAAAACAAATGTATGGCCTAATTATTACTAGGTGAGCCCCCCTCTAACCACAGCCAGTTGGAAAATACCTCTGCTACCCGGTGCCTCAGTTGCCACCTCCTTCTCCCTGTGAGTAAGTCCTGCCCCGGCATGTGTAGAAATCTCATCTTTGCATTTTTTTTAGATTATTTATTTATTTATTCATGAGAGACACAGAGAGAGAGAGAGAGAGAGAGAGAGGCAGAGACACAGGCAGAGGGAGGAGCAGGCCCCATGCAGGGAGCCCGATGTAGGAATCCATCCCGATCCTGGGACTCCAGGATCACGCCCTGGGCCGAAGGCAGGTGCTAAACAGCCGAGCCACCCAGGGATCCCCTTCTTTGCATTTTTTGTATTGTCACTCAGAGGAGCATCCCCTAGGCTGTATAATTCAAAGCTTTCATCTTGGGGCGCCTGGTGGCTCAGTGCGTGAAGCATCTGCCTTCAGCTCGGGTCATGGTCCTGGGGTCCCGGGATCAAGCCCCACATCGGGCCCCCTGCTCGGCGGGGAGTCTGCTAGTCCCCTTCCCTTTGCAGATGGTGATGTGTTCTTTCTGTTATTTATTTTCCTTTATTAGAGTATATTTATCAAAAGATGTTTGCCTTCATCGTCCCAGGGGCATGGCTTGTCTAGGAGAAGCAGGATAACGATCCATCCCTTTCCCCTGGCTGACCAGCTCGCACGACGGGTGAAGCGGTTGGTTCCCTCACCTCCTGTGAGGGTGAAAGATGCTTTCTTCTCTGTAAGATCATGAGGGATGCGTGGATTTAAACCCAGTTGGTGGGTTTCAAGCCACCGTAGTCATGACATTTATTAAAGCCCCAATCGTGCCATCCTTGGCCAGGGAGAGGGTCTGTAGGTGGGCTCCCCGGTCCCTCTGGCGTGACACTGGTCAGCTTGGAGAATTTCCTCTGGGTGCTGTTGGATTGGATCTTTTTTTTTTCAGTTTTTTTTTAATTTTTATTTATTTATGATAGTCACACACAGAGAGAGAGGCAGAGACACAGGCAGAGGGATAAGCAGGCTCCATGCACCGGGAGCCCGACGTGGGATTCGATCCCAGGTCTCCAGGATCGCGCCCTGGGCCAAAGGCAGGCACTAAACCACTGCGCCACCCAGGGATCCCCTTCAGTTTATTTTTAAGTAATGTCTCCACCCACCATGGGGCTCGAACTCAAGCACCCTGACATCACCCTGGCACTCCGCCAGATGCCCCGCTCGGTTTCATTGTAAAGAGCTTCACTTTGGTGCTGGCCCAGTGCTTTTGGGGGTCTCTGTTGCCTGACTGCCACCTCCAGATGAGCTCGGAGCCTGCTTCTCTCTCTCCTACCCTCCCTGTACGCGTGCTTTCTATATCAATCAAATATTATTTAAAAATAGAAAATATCAGTAAAATAGAAACGTGATGGAGGACGTGCTGGTGAGTTACGCTGCCACTGTCGAGTTACTGGGTGACTGTCACTGTTCTGCCCTGCTGAACCTCCCCTCCTCTCCTGGTCCTTGCGGGGCGAGCCTCAGCCCATCAGTCAGCATTGTGGTGCTTGGACTGGCCCCTGTGGTTCTTACTATGACTGCAAGATGCCCTTCAGCAGCAGCTGTCTGGAAACTTCGAGGAAAGACATGTTTATCACTCAGGAGACCCGGAAGTGACACAGGACACCTGGGGCCACAGTGCGAGGTGCTCGGTAGACAGTGCTCACCGGGGCCTGGGGTTCTGCTCTTACGGGGGTCAAGGGTCAGGGTACGGGGTTTCAGGGGCTCCCCCTGGGTGGGTTTGCAACACAAGGGTGGGGAGAGAAAAAGCAAGCAGCCCAAATGGTCAGCGGTGAAAATCAACCAAGATCCCTGAAACCGGGGAGCCCCAGAGGAGCCTCAGCGGGGCGAGGGGGCCTGCTGTCCGTCTGGTGCTGGGGCCAGCCCTGTGTTCTGGGGGAGAGTGTGCTCGAAGCCGATGCCTCTTTGAAATGCATGCCTCAGCGATGTGAGCTTGGGGCAGACACGGGTGCTTCGCTTGGCACCGTGACCCCAGGGCCTTTGCACTGGCCGCTGCCTCGGCTGTTGTTTGGGCTCAGCTCAGCCGTGCTGGAAGCTTCTGCAGGCCCAGGTCTGACAGGCACATGTGGCAGGTCACTGGTGCACGGCTGGCTGCGCTCGGGCAGGATGCATGAGTGGGCAAGATGCTCGGCGTCAGCGGACCCCGGACCCCAGGCCCCAGGCCCGTGGGCAGTTCACTCGAGGCCCGCCGTGCGCGCCGCTCGGCTTCCCCTTTCCGAGGCCGTTTCGGGAAGTGCCGCACACTTCCTCTCGGCCTTGCCCTCGGAAGGCTGGGGGTACCCCGCGCCCCGTGAGGGCTCCCTGAGGCCCGGCTGTGGGGGTACCTCCTGTCTCGGGGCCTTCCGGCGAGCACGCCAGCCCCTCTCCTCTTCCCAGGGCCCCCCAGCAGCCCCGAGCCCCTGAGTCCCTGAGTCCCCGCCGCGAGCCCGTCTGTGGCCCCAACTGCCCGTCTAGGCCCGTCTAGGCTTTTCTAGTCCCTGGCACCCCCCGACGGACCGGCTCATCTGGGATGATCGCCCACCCCCCTCCCTGTTCCTCGACGTGCTGGTGCCCACCGCGCCCGAGCAGGTGGTGCGGGCCTGGGGTCTCGGGGTCCTGGGGTCCCGGGAGGGGGGAGCCGGGACGCCCCAGACGGCGGCTCTTCCTCTTCCCCTGGCCCCTGGGCCGAGCGGGGTGCTTGTAAATGTGTCAGGCGTAAATGAAGCCGGAGATACAAAAGACTTCCTGTCCCAGTGGTCACCAAGCCTCCTGGCAGAAGCCCACGCTTCCTGCTGTCACACATGCCACCGCTCAGAAGAGCAGACCGCACGGCGATAAATCTCCCTGGGTTGCCGCCTGCAGCAGGCCGACCCCCGGGCAGCGGCGCTGCCACCTCGCGAGCGCTCTGCCCAGGTGCAAGGCGCCGTGGCACTGTCGGGCACCAGGGATCTGGGGCCCTCCCCGCTCGGGGACACGCGCGGCCCTTCACACCAGCGACGGCTCCCGGGATGGCGGGGCCCAGGGGTGGGCCAGAGCAGCCCGCCGAGCCCGTGCTGCTTGTCCCACTGGCTCTCAGCGGGGCGCCAGGGCTTCGGTCACTGTCCCTGCCCTGTGCCACCCCCAGCCTTTAGGATGCGCAGAAGACACCGGTTTCTACCTGCCCCCCCGGGGCGTCCCCATCCCGGATTGGGAGACGCTGGCATTTAGGAGGTGAAGGCCCAGGGGTCTTCCAGCTTTAAAAGTAAATCCTGGGTGGCACAGACAGTTGAGCGGGCACCCAATCTCGGTTTTGGCTCAGGCCATGATCTCCGACTCATGGGATCGAGCCCCACGTCGGGCTCCATGCTAACATGGAGTCGGCTTGAGACTCTCCCTCTCCGTCTATCCCTCACACCACTTGTGTTCTCTCTCTCTCGCTTTCTCTGTTTCAAATAAAAAAAAAATCTTTTGGCCCAGAGCTCTCCCACTTTATATCCAGATATCACTAAAAAATCCCTCTCTATTTTTTTGAATTTTATTTATTTATTTATTTATTTATTTATTTATTTATTATCTATTTATTTATTTATTTATGATAGTCAGAGAGAGAGAGAGAGAGAGAGGCAGAGACATAGGCAGAGGGAGAAGCAGGCTCCATGTACCGGGAGCCCGATGTGGGATTCGATCCTGGGCCTTCAGGATTGCGCCCTGGGCCAAAGGCAGGCACCAAACCGCTGCGCCACCCAGGGATCCCCCCTCTCTATTTTTAAAAAAGATTTTATTTATTCGTGAGAGAGAGAGAGAGAGAGAGGCAGAGACACAGGCAGAGGGAGGAGTAGGCTCCATGCAGGGAGGCCGACGTGGGACTCGATCCCGGGACTCCAGGGTCACACCCTGAGCCAAAGGCAGGTGCTGAACCACAGAGCCACCCAGGTGCCCCAGTCTCTACTTTCTTTAAATCTCACATCCAGTACCGGTTCCTTCCACCCTCACTGCAGTCAGTTCCAGTCCCTACCCACAGCTGGGCCCGGTACTTAAGTTCTCTGGACCCTACTGTTCTCGCACATATAACGGACGTAAAGGTGTTACCTCTCCCATAGGATAGTTTCGGACACTAACTGGGTTATGGTAAAGCACTTGGGTGTGAACTCCAGATGACAGTCATGCTCTCTGTCAAATGTGTGTGATTTTTCTTTTCTCGTTGAGCAATTGTTGAGAAGTTGGGTAACAGTGGTAGATGATACAGAGGTGGGCAGTCCGCCTTTGTGTTTGATTTCGATGTCTGGCCGTGGCTTTTGCATTGAGGTGGCTGATGGTAGGGAAGCTTTCTTCTCATCCATTCCTGAGAGTTTTTTCGGCCTGAGTATACGTACTTTCTAGTACATACTTTTGCTGCACCGACGGTGATGGTTGCACAGCTCTGGTCCTCTGACCTGGGGGTGTGAATGCCGGAACTACACTCCCCACTCGGGACCCGTCCTTGCGATCGCGGAATAAAACAGACTTGAAGACGGTGCCCTACTCATTAAATCCAAAGCTCGGTGGACTTCGCAGTTCATTGTTGGAACGGCTGATTTGTTTTTCTGCTGTCCCTGTCATGAAATCGGTTTGGCGGAGGCTGACTAGCAAGAGCGGTCGGTCCAGTAACGTGTCGTTGACTTGCCTCTCTGCAGGCCTGGCGCAAGCGCTGGTTTGTCCTCCGGCGGGGCCGCATGAGCGGCAACCCCGACGTCCTGGAGTACTACAGGAACAAGCACTCGAGCAAGCCCATCCGCGTGATTGACCTCAGCGAGTGTGCCGTGTGGAAGCACGTGGGCCCTGGCTTCGTCCGCAAGGAATTTCAGAATAACTTCGTGTTCATTGTCAAGACTACGTCTCGTACATTTTATCTGGTGGCCAAGACCGAGGTAGAAATGCTGGTGTGGGTGTACAGCATCAGTCAGGTCTGCAACCTCGGCCACCTGGAGGATGGTGCAGGTGAGAGCAGGGTCGGAGGTTCCGTGCGCCAGGGGGTGGCCCGGGGCGCTGCAGGTGCACCGGAGAGCTTGCGCGGGAAAAGCAGGGCTGATGCCAGGCCCACCTCCTCAAGGGGGCTTGGACAGGCTACCGGATGTCAGCAATTCTCCCACAAGCCACAGTTCTAGAGGTGGCTTCTTTCACCTGGGTCTACACTGCAGGCCCGAATGCGCTACACACTGAACGTTACAGGTGACTTCAGCGGCTTCGAAGCCACTCCGCAGCTTTGCCTTTATCAGCCACAGACAACCAGATGCAATAAAACTAGGGTGTGGGTGAGCGTGTCCTATAGGGCCCTGATTTTCCCCCATCCTGTCGCTGCTGCTGGTTTCCTAGAACTATTAGTTATCAGCGTTTTTCTATGATTCCTGGAACTCTAGTTCTTCGGCTGTCTATTGGGTTGTTCGGCACTGGATGGTAGAAAGATAGGACTTGGCCACTTCTCGTGGGCGGGGAAGATTTCTCTTATCTGCAATCAGCTTGAGGTCTGTGCAGGGCCAATTAAGCTCTGAGGTTGCTCTGGGCCACGTGTGAGCTCGCTCTCCTGCTCTCTTTGCCTCCCGTTTGCTTTCTCTCACTCTCACTCTCTCTCTTTCATCCACGTGCACGCACATGTGTTTCTATGTGATGCACCGGGTATAGCATGCCTAGCGTTACAGCTCACGTACCTTCACGGAGTTGGCCGTTGGGCCCCTGACATCGTTGCACCCGGCCCCGATCCTCAGCCTGCGACATGGGGGGTGTGATTTCCTTTAGCCCGTTGGTCTAGTAGAGGAAACCTCAGCCCTAGATTCCAGGGTCCGGGGGCTTCACCCTTAACAGCAGGCTTGTCACCTGCCCCCGAAACACACAGTGGGCGCTAGGTGGTGGCGGTGGGTCGGCCGCAGGGCCCTGGGCCGCCCCCGCGGGTGCCTCCCGAGCTCCAGTCCTCTGTTCCCGAACCCGGGAAGCCTATTAAGTGCAGCTAGCTCTGCACTCCCATTACTGAGCTTCGAGAGCAGTGAATTTAAAGGAAATGAAGTGATGGCTAGCTCTGCGTCCTTGCCACAACACATGAAGCTCGCCTGCAAGGCTGCAGTGCATCCTCCGTGGCCGGAGTCCAACGCGGTGCAAACAAGCGGAGCGGCCCTGACTGGCTCTTCCAGGCCTGCCGCTCCCTCTTCACCCCCCTCGTCCCCCCCTTCAGCCCACCCTGGGTGTATCCGTGTGCCATGTTGTGTGTCTCCTCCTGTGGGAGTTGTCCTTAAACATAGACATATGTGTAACCTGTTTCCCGGTATCCGGGGAGGAACAGGAATGACTCAGGCACCAGGCAGAGTGGACAGGTCTGGCAGGAAGTCAGAGGAAAGCAGAAAGTGCGCCCTATGAGCTTTATCGGTCCCCGTAGCCCCCCACCTTAGTTTTTAGGAGGATGTAAGAGTAGAGTCCTCTTCATCTGAGAACCACACCCGAAGGCCTTTCTTGTGGCTTTTCACAGAAAGCGTTTGGTCCTGCATGCAGCAACCACAGCCCGTGAACGCATCGCGCATACTGTGGCCGGGAGCTCTGCTGAACTCGGGTGCAGCAGCTCGGGTGATCCCGGGCTGATTTTGTGGCGTATGCACTAGTAGCATCCGCACTTTACAAAGAAGGAACCTTGCAGCAGGTAGGGAGCGTGCCTGAGGTCGCAGCAGCTAGGTGGGGAGCCTGGCCTTGAACTCAGGCGGCTCCGGGCCCCTCTGACTCAGAAATCCTGAAGTTGCGCCAGCGGGGTTCGAAGGGGAAATCCAAGCAGGCTTTCCATTGGCAGCTTGCGAGTATCCTGCTCCTTGAGAAATCCCGCCTTCAGCAGCCATCACACCCTATGTCTTTCTTTCCTTTTCCTTTCACCTCGTTAACAGTGTTCTTTCTTTATGTTTTACTTGTCTGTCTCCTCTTGTGGTCTGTAGACTCCAGTGAGGGCACAGCGTGTCTTGCAGGGTTCGATGAGTGGTGCGTGCAGGGTAGGTGCGGTAGGCGGCGTTCTGCATAGACGTGAACAGACGTAGGTATCTCCACATGCAGCCATAGATGCGTGCAAAATGCGGAAGCATGCACATGCATGTGCATAGAAATAGGTGTGTGTGTGTGTGTGTGTGTGTGTGTGTGTGTCTATTTGCTGAGTGAATAAACAGTAGTGCGGGGCTACGGCCGAGGGCCATAGGAAGCTGTGCGCAGCCGCGTCAGTGCGGTCTGTAGGCCGAGAATGCTCGGCGTTTTTACTCTTAATTGATTCAACACTTCGCTCCTGGAACGTTGGCCTTGCTCCCCAGACATTGTTTATGGCCTGGGGAAGCGGCCGCCTCCGCCCGCACAAACACCAGCTGTGATTCGCATCTTCTCTGGCCTCGGGGACGCTGTCGGGAAGTCGGAGCGGGCGCGATGGCCCTTCCGCGCCGCCAACCCGGGAAATGGTTTCTCCAGCAGCCCCCGCGGAGCGCTGGCCTGGGCCGCCCGCCTCCCTGCAGCCGCCGGCCGGGCCCCCCCCCGGCCCCCCTCCCGCCGCCCGCGCGCTGGGCGCCTCCCTGCCGAGGGCCGAGCTCCGCGGAGCGGCCGACGACAGCCGGAGCGAGGCCGACTTTCTGTCCCTTCCCGATTACCTGGTCCTGTCCCACTGCGAGAGCGGCCGGCCGCGCCACGCCAGGTACGCTAGCGCGCGTGGGCGGGCAGCAGGCGCGCCGCGCGGCCCTCCCTGCCACCGTGCCCCACGCGGGGACGCGGCCGCCGCCCCCCAGCCGGTCCCGTGCTCTTCCCCGCAGCCTGCCCTCCAGGTGCGACAGCTGGCCCCACGCGGAGCGCCCCCCGGAGCCCACGTCGTGCGACGACGTGTTCGTGGCCTGCGCGCAGCCCGGCGCTCAGCACGCGCCCCCCCCGCGCTCCTCCCCGCGCCCCGACAGCTCGGCCCGCGCGCCCAGGGAGCCGGACCCCGCGCCCCGCACGCCGCCCCCGCGCCCCCCGAAGCCGAGCCACCTGTCCGAGCGGCGCCAGGACGCGCAGCCCGAGGGCGCGGCGGCGTCCAGAAGAGTCTCCCTGTCCGGCCTGGACAACGTGAGGACCCGGAAAGGTAAGGCGGGTCCCCGCCGCCCCGGCCACCGCCGCCGCCACCCGCCCGCCCCCTGCGGCCAGGGCCCCGAGGCTGTGGGACGAAGGCAGAGCCGCACAGCCAGCGCCCCGCGTGCTCCGGAGTCCCTGGGGTCCCGCCGGGGACACACGCTGGCATCGCCACCTCCGTTCAGCCCGGTGCCAGGCTCGGCTGTCGCGTGGGCCGCAGCTCTCTCAGTTGCCGGCCATCCCCCCCGCCCCGCACGTCCTCGCCACTGTTAGTGACCCTGCCCAGTGGTGTCCCCATCAAGGTCACGCTGGCCCAGGCCTGTGGCCTGCTTCGGGGGGCACGCCCTGCCGGGGCCCTCTCTGCCTTTTCCTGTGCAGCTGCTAATTCTGATGACGTTGCCCCGCTGCCTCTCCCGCGCTCTCCCCCCACCCCCCCCCAGCACCCTGTCCAGGCAAACATAATCGATGTGATCACCCCCACACTGCTGCCTATAAGGTGGGTTCCTAAAGAGATTCTGTAGGTTTGAGGATCGCCGACTCCTTTCAAATTGTATGAGTTTCTCACTCTGCCAGTGGCCCTGGCAAAGACTCCCCCAACGTCCCCAGTGGTGTGACCTTTACACGTGACTTCTTTCTGCTGACCTCGATCATATGACTATATGCTGAACACAAAGGGTCTTCAGGTGCCAGCGTGTGCACAGTGGGCAAAAAGGGCAAAGTGAAAAAATACACGAGCAGATTTGGGGAAGTGAAATGACTAGAACAGTAAAATGGTAAAATAAGAAAGTAAGTCAAAAGTCTTGAGTTGGGGGGATCCCTGGGTAGCTCAGTGGTTCACCACCTGCCTTTGGCCCATGATGTGACACTAGAGTCCCAGGATCAAGTCCCACGTCGGGCTCCCTGCATGGAACCTGCTTCTCCCTCTGTCTGGATCTCTGCCTCTCTCGCTCTTTCTGTCTCTCATGAATAAATGAATAAAAAAAAATCTTTAAAAAAAAAAAGAGTCTCGAACTGGGACACCTGGGTGGCTCAGTCACTGAAGCATCTACTTTGGCACAGCTCATGACCTCAGGGTCCTGCGATGCAGCCGCTGATCGGGCTCCCCGCTGCTTCTCCCTCTGCCCCTTCCCCTTGCTCGTGCTCTCACACCTTCTCTCTCTCTCTTTTTTACAGTCTCAAATTGAAGGGGCACCTGGCTGGCTCAGTCGGTAGAACATGCGACTCTTGATCTCAGGGCTGTGAGTTCAACCCCACATTGGGTGTAGGGATTAATAAAAACATGAAATCTTTTTTGTAGGGTCTCAACTTGAACCAAAAATTGAGATTTAAAATTTCAAGACAGGCCGAAAACAATGATGTTGTGTTCTTTTACACGAAGGCAACAGTCTCATCAGAATTAAAGTCATTAAGATAGAGGTTTTGGCCATGAAACAAAGACCCAAAACGACGGTGATGGGCAGAAGCAAAATGGAGCTAATAAAGCAGAGGGAACATGTCAGATTGGTTGTTCTCCTTCCCCATTGAGGGCGGCCTGGAATCGACGGTTGTGACAGTGGAGTGGGGTCAGGGTTCATTAGGGTCCACAGGGATCTCCTTCCAGTGACCTAGCACCCTGGACTGCAAAGGCCCCCGGATTCCCAATGCTCTCCGGAGCCCCCTAGGCCATAACCAAATGCTATGTGTGGGACGGTGTGCATCTCGGCTCTGCTTCCACTCCCGCCGGGCCCTGTGGTCCAGTCCACACCAGTGCCACCCACCCAGAATTACTGGCCCTTCGGTCTTGAAGTCTTCTCACCTGTTCTTTGATTTGTGGTTTTTAGTAAAGTCTTACATCTCTCTTATTAACATGTTCCCACTGAATTCTTATTTTACAGTGTTCTTGGCACTGGTGTTTTAGTGACTTTTTTGCTATTGTATAAAAATTAGTTTAGCTTTTGTGGCTTTTTTTAAAGATTTTATTTATTTCTTCATGACAGAGAGAGAGAGGCAGAGACCCAGGCAGAGGCAGAAGCAGGCTCCACGCAGAGAGCACCATGCAGGACTCGATCCTGGGTCTCCAGGATCAGGCCTTGGGCTGAAGGCAGTGCTAAACTGCTGAGCCACCCGGGCTGCCCTAGTTTTTGTGTTTTGACTTCGTATCAAACTTTTCTGAACTATATATTAAGTTGCATTTTCTTTGAATACAATCATATCACAAGCAAATGCTTATAATAGTTGCATTTCATTTTTTATTACACATATCTCTCCTTCACTTTTTCTCCCGTCACTGCTTGGGCTACGAAGTCCAGGACATTGTGGCATAGGAGTGGTCATAACAGGGATCCTTGTCTTATTCCTGCTCTCAGATTCAAAGCTCCTAGCATTTCACCATTACAGTGTGACGTGCAGATTTTTGTTGATACGATTCATACAACTTAGTAAAGACATTCTCTGATAACCCTACTTTGTTTGCTGAGTGCTATTTTTTAAAAAAGATTTTATTTATCCATGAGAGACACACAGAGAGAGGCAGAGACCTAGGCAGAAGGAGAAGCAGGCTCCCTGCAGGAAGCCCAACAGGAGACCCGATTCCAGGACCCTGGGATCACACCCTGAACCAAAGGCAGACGCTCAACCCCTGAGCCATGCAGGCGCCCTACTGAGTGTTATTTTTAAAAAATCATACTAGACACTGACTTTGTTGAAACATTTTATGATCTGTGATTTTTCTCTTTTATCCTCTCAATGTGAGGAAGTTCATTGATTGACTTTTTTTGAAGACCAAACCAACCCTGCATTCCTGAAATAAACTCAACTTCATCATAAAGACTATTCTTTAAATAAACTAATTTGTTTTGCTCATACTTTGTTTTGAACTTGTTTTTTGATATGTGTTTCTGAGGGAGATTGTCCTATGATTTTCTTTTCTCGTGATAGCTGTGTCAGGTTTTTTATTTTGTTTTTTTTTTTTAAGATTTAATTTATTTATTCATGAGAGACACACAGAGAGAGAAAGAGAGAGGCAGAGACACAGGCAGAGGGAGAAGCAGGCTCCATGCAGGGAGCCCAAGGTGGGACTCGATCCCGGGACCCCAGGATCAGGCCCTGGGCTGAAGGCGGTGCTAAACCACTGAGCCACCTGGGCTGCCCAGGTTTTGGTTTTTTTAAAAAAAAAGATTATGCTGAAGTTGCCCTCTTTTTGATTATTTGGAAAAATTTAGTTGATTTTAGTAGAATTTACTAGAAAATTATTATTTGGAAACATTTAGTTGATTTAGTAGAATTTACTAGAAAAGCCATTGGGGCATGGGGTTTGCTTTGTGGAAAGATGTTTCAATTACGGAATCAATTTATTTCTTTAGTCTTTGGTAGACTATTCAGATTTCCTATGTTTTTCAAGCAATTTCTTTATTTCTCCTGATTTTTTGAATTTATTGTCATAAAATTGATTATAATAGCCTCTTGCTATCTGTAGGATCTATGAGAATAGTTTCTTTTCATTCCTGATACTGAAAATGTGAACTTCGTCTGTTTTTCTTTATTAATCTTGCTGGCAGTTTATCAGTTTTACTAGTTGTTTTGTTTTAAGTAAGCGCTACGCCCAACGTGGGCTTTGCACTCAGGACCCTGAGATGAAGACTTACATGCTCTACCTACTTAGCAGCCAGGCCTCCTTGGTTTGCTTTTTTTTTTTTTTTTAACCAGAGTACAAGGTTTAGCTTTGTTGATTTTTTTTCTCCATTGTATATTTGTTTTCTGTTGCATTAATTTTTGCTCATATCTTTATTATTTCCTTCCTTCTTGGGTCAGCAAACTGTGGCCTCTGGGCCAAATCTGACCAACAGCCTGTTTTTTTACAGCCCACCAACTAAGAATGGTTTTTACACTTAAAAAAAAAAGATTTTATTTATTTATTCATGAGACACACAGAGAGAGAGAGAGAGAGAGAGAGCCAGGGACACAGGCAGAGGGAGAAGCAGGCTCCACGCAGGGAGTCTGACACAGGACTCGATCTCGGGTCTCCAGGATCACACCCTGGGCCAAAGGCGGTGCTAAACCGCTGAGCCATCCGGGCTGCCCAGATTTTTACACTTTTAAGGGGTGTAAAAAAAAATACTATCTGGTTCTTTCCAGAAAAAGTTTCTCCTGCTGTACTTCCTTGGAGGTAATTTTCATATTTTAAATTTATTTCTTTTGATGGATGGGTGGCCTATTGAATTTATTCCTTTCTTTTTTAACTAACGTACATGTTTAAGGCTACAAATTTTCTGTGAACACTGTCTCAGCCGCACCCCACACATTTTGAGATGTCCCATTTTCATTTTCATTCAGTTCAAAATATTTTCTAGTTTTCACTGTGGTCCCTTCTTTGCCCCGTGCATTACTTGAAACTGCATTTCTGGGGCACCTGGGTGGCTTGATGGTTGAGTGTCTGCCTTGGGCTCAGGTTGTGATCCTGGGGTCCTGGGATCGAGTCCCGCATCCGGCTCCCTGCTCCGTGGGAAGCCTGCTTCTCCTTCTGCCTCTGCCTCTACAGCCCTGCTTGTGCTCACTCGCAATCTCTCTCTGTTTCTCATTCCAATAAATAAATAAACAAACAAATAAATAAATAAAATCTTAAAAAAAAAACCCAACAACCCTGTATTTCTTAACTTCCAAACCTGAGAATTTTTTAGTTCTTCTTCTCGTTGAATATGTTTTGGTTAGGGAACATCCTCTAGTTCAGTCCTTAGAAATTGGAGAGTTCTTCGGCGGCTCAACACACAGGTATTTCTGGGAATGTTGTAGACATCCCTGGCAAGGATGCCTGCTGTGCCCTGAGACTGGTCAAGGGCTTCAGTGGCCGTGTCACTCGTACCCCCTCTGGCTGCACTGATTTTCTGTGTCCTCCTTGCACCAGTCACCGAGAGAGCTATGTTCAAGTCTACCCCTGTGATCGAAGAGTCTTTCTCCCTTCTAATTCTGCCCAATTTTTGTGTATGATTTAAAGCTATGCTATTAGTTACAAACCTCTTATAATTTTATATATTTGTA